CCATCTCAGACTGCTGCTGCGCTGGCAGCGAGAATTTCAAGTCAGTGGATCTTAGTTTGCTGGGCTCTGTGGGGGTGGGACCCATTGAACCAGCCTACTTGGCTCCCTGGCTTCAGCCCGCTTTCCAGGGGAATGAAAGGTTCTGTCTCATTGGCCTTCTAGGAGCCACTGGTGTATGGAAAAAAAAAAAAAAGAACTCCTGCAGCTAGTTCGGTGTCTGTCTTCTGCCTGATTTTAAGATTTTTAAAAACCACTGATTTTCAGTACTTTGTGCGTGATGCAGTTGTTCAATTTTCTTTCCGTTTATTTTGATTTGGAATCATGTTTTTTGAATCTTTGGGTTTGTAGGCTTTATCATATTTGGAAATTTTCGGCCTTTATTTCTTTAAATATTTTGTCTCTTTCTCCTAACTTTTCACTTTTGCAACTCCAGCTGGACAAACGCTTGACCACTTGATATTGTTTTACAGGTCACTGATACTCTGCTCTTTATTTGGGAGGCATCTTTTTAGTTAGTTAGTTAATTGTTTTACTTTTTTGAGCTCACTTTGGGTAGTTTATATATGTATATATGTCAACTGTTTTGGGTTAACAATTTTTTTCTGCCATTATATTCATACATAATCACACTTGATATATTTTATTAAATTTCAAATATCACTTTTCTTCATCTCATTTGAGCCATTTTGATATTTTTATAACTTCCATTTCTCTCTATATCATTTTAATATTTTTCTACTTCTTAAAAATGTACAGCAGATTATGAGTATTGTTTTAATCATACTCATCATAGTGTTTTAATGTATGTGTCTGCTAATTTTATCACCTCTGTCCTATGTAGGTCTATTTCTTTTTGTTGATTTTTCTCTTGTTTACTAATTAAATATTTTCCTGGGTTTTGCATGATGGTAATTTTTCATAGGAAGTTAGATATTGTGAATTTTTTAATTAAATATTGTTTTTTATTTCATTAAAGATTGTTGAATTTTGTTTTGCTGTCTAATTAATTTACTTGAAACCAGTTTAATCCCTTTGTAGAATTCTTTTTCAGCTTTCTTAGGGCTTTGTGTTCAACAGAAGCCACTTGTCTTGAGCTAATTTCATTCTGCTACTAAGGCAGTACTTTCGGGAGCTCTACACAATTTCCTATGTATTATGAAATCTTTCTACTCTGGCTGGTGGAAATATGTTAATACCCAGCTCTATTTGAGCTCCACATCTTGTTCAGCCTACTACTTTTCAGGGATTATTTCCCTGGCTTTGGGCAGTTTGTTTTTATGCACTCATAGATTTGTGGTCAGTCAGAAACTCCATGGTATTTTTTCTATAGATCTTTGGAGTTTTTTCTTTGTGCAGCTTCTCCGGCACTCTTTTCTGCAAATTCTTGCTATCTTGGCTTTCCTTAATTCTAATCTCAAACTTAGGAAGACTGCCAGACTCTGTTTGGATTTCCCCAATTAGCTTTGTAGACTGAAAACTATTTCTAGGCAGCAAACTGGAGCAATTATAGAGTTTATCTCATTGATTTATCTATCCCTATCCTAGCGATCACAGTCCTGTGCTGTCTGTTAGCCAATGTCTTAAAACAATTGCGTCACACGAACCTCTATCATGGCCAGCAACAGGAGTCTACATCTGGGCACAATTTGATTTTACTGAAATTTGTTATGTTATTTGTTAACTCTTATTTGTTGTTTAAATTTATATTTAGGAGCCAATGTAAAGTAATGGGAAAGAATCAGGACATGGAGACAGGCAATCCAGGACCAAATCATAGCTCTATCTTATATGTATTAATTAAATCATTCAATTCATTCGTAACTTTATGATTTTATTTTATAATGTTTATTGAATGTCTGCTTTGTTCTAGTCACTGTGTAACATTCCAGTCTTATTTTGTCACCTGTACAATAGGGAGAAATAACACTACTTCATTGTGGTAGATTCATGATCTTGCAATACAAACTTGCAACCTCTTCCATTAAGACATAGAGTTCATTTCTTCACTCATTAAATCTGGGCTGACCCTGTGACTCATTTTGGTGTATATGCTGTAGCTGAAGTGAAATGTGTGAGTTCTGAACCTTTGTCTTAAAAACCTTTTCAGCCGGGCGCGGTGGCTCATGCCTGTAATCTCAGCACTTTGGAAGGTCGAGGTGGGTGGATCACGAGGTCAGGAGTTCAAGACCAGCCTGACCAACGTGGTAAAAACCCCATTTCTACTAAAAATGCAAAAAAATTAGCTGGCCGTGGTGGCACATGCCTGTAATCCCAGCTGCTCAGGAGACTGAGGCCGGAGAATCACTTGAACCCAGGAGGCGCAGATTGACAATGTGAGAAAAAACTGCAACATCTCTCAGGCTTAGCGCTTGATGTCAAATGAAAATGAAAATAATTTATAGTCTTTATTCTCTCAAAGCTATTGTCTGTTGGCAAGATCCTATTTTATATGCCCAAAACTTAAAATTAACTTTGTTTGTATTCTTTCTGAAAAATTCTTATTTTCTTTTATTTTTTTAAAGACGGAGTCTCTCTCTGTCGCCCAGGCTGGAGTGCAGTGGCGCGATCTCGGCTCACTGCAAGCTCCGCCTCCTGGGTTCACGCCATTCTCTCGTCTCAGCCTCAGGAGTAGCTGGGACTACAGGCACCTGACACCTCTCCCAGTTAATTTTGTTTTTGTATTTTTGGTAGAGACGGGGTTTCACCATGTTAGCCAGGATGGCCTCGATCTCTTGACCTCGTGATCCACCCGCATCGGCCTCCCAAAGTGCTGGGATTACAGGTGTGAGCCACTGCGCCCGGCCAAAATTCTTATTTTCAAAATATTATCCTGTTTTAATCTCATGTTTTTATCCTATGGCATTTACCAATGTATTTAACCATGCTATATGCATGTACTGTTATTTTTACTTCACTTGTCCCTTTCCATGTTTAGAAATAATCCTAGACATTCCTAAAGACTCTGTTTAAGTGTCACCTCCTCTGTGAAACCACTGCAAATTTAGGGGAATTTTTCAGCTTTTTCTTTGTGATTCCGAGGCATTTTGATAGTATTACTTTCAGTGCTTTTCATATTATAAATATTTGATTAATACTCTTTCTCTTTTGAAGATCTACAGTTTATTTCACTTCTTTCAGTAAATCCATGATTATATGTTGAATATATGCCTGATAGCATGATTGTTTTTTCTAAGAATATGTTTTCCTTTTAAGTGCTAGTACATTCCATTACAGGTTGATCGTCACTACTCAGCTGAATGCTTTGGGAAAACAGAATCATTCATACCAAGCACTGATATCTTCCAAATTAGTCTGTGGAATAACCGTTAGGTATAAGCTTTATTTTAGTTTCTCAGAATTGTTAAATATACTCACCCATAATATTATTAGATGAGAAAAAGAAGATTTAGGCATTATTTTAATTAACTTAGTGTTTAGGAGTATTTAAAATAGTATTTAATTTAATATAACTGATTATGAAGTTCTAAACTTTTGGATTCTGCTGTCTCAGAAGTGTTCATCTTATAGACTTCCCAGAATAAAATCTTTGAAACTACCACAAAGTTCAGTAAAGAAAAAAAAATTCTTACATGGTTAAAACAATAGTTTAAGATGTAATTACAGTTTAACTTTTATTTCTGGAAAACAATCTTCAGAGCATTATCATTCATCCTCAAGATTACTTATGTATCCATTCTTTGAAAATCTAACAGTTTAACATGTGTCCGCTGCCTTTTTTTGCAAAGAGCCTTATTTTTCAAAAGTCACAATTAGAGGGCTTGCCGGCTTTTTAACCTTGTGTTGGCTTCAATTCTCTTTGGAACAATAATCTCCCAGCCGTAGTTTCTACTTTTATCCTAAAAGCTCTCATTCATCCCATGAGGCTTTCTTCATTATTCCCAAGTTTACCAACAGGGAAGCTGCAGTGTTCTAGCAAAAAAAGTCCAAAAGTTGCTTAAAAAGTATAAGTAATATTTTCCATTTTTATTTAAATTTATTTCTGATCCAGAGTCTTCCTTTTAGATTAAGACTAATTTCTTTGATGCTCATGGTTTTCAGATGATAAATCCCACAGCAACATTAGCATCTAACACTCTTAAAAAGCTCCTATGGTGTATAAATTTTCATCAAACACTCTAAATACTTTGTGGTTCTTAATGTTATGCTATATTTGAGTCAAGGAGCCATGGAATATATTTAAAAATCCAAAGGACAGAGAAGTATATTGAATTGAAAAGTGATAGTTCTCCCGCGCGTTCCAATCTATGCTGCAAATCCCCTTTTCCTTGCCAGAAATAACCTTGGTGCACTGTCTTCCTATGCCTGTCCTGCGTATCTCGCAGATGTATTTATTCATGTGGATGCCGCTTATTACACACTGGATAATAGAAAGGATGAAACTCTTTATATCTGGGTCAACATCTGGCTTCCATTATATGTTGGATACTGAAGAAAATGAAGGAATACAAAGGCAAATTGCACTATTATCTCAGTCTCGGTTTCTTCCTCTGATCACACACTAGGAAACACAGTGCATACACACAGGCAGTTGTACTTAAATGATGTCATAATTTGCACATTGTTCTGCATCTATTTTTGTTCTTACTACATCCTAGTTATCGTCCCATGTCAGAACATTCCTCATCTTTCTTAAAAAGGATCTCATAGCATAGATTTTTCATAATTTATGTAGCCATCACTGTATTGATAGGTGCTTACATTGTTTATATTTTTTATTACAAAAATGTATTTGAAATTCATGTCTTTTTACATGCAAGTTTTTATATGTGTGCAAATATTTCTGTAAGACAGATTTCACTAAGTAGAACCAAAAAGTGATACAATTTTTTGTTTTCAATAGATACCACTAAATAACTCCAAAAAGACCATAACAATTACATTTCACACTATGAAATTCCAAGATTCCTCATACCTTCATCAACACTTAATAGTAAATGAGAAATCTTTATATTATATATAAATGTAAAAATGTTAAAATATACACTTGTGTTTCTAGCTCCAATTAGAAAAGTGACATTTTCAAAGCCTATTTGCTACTAAAAATTTAAAAGCACACATGAGCTTTACCATAACGAACACATATCATTTTCTGATAAAATAGGGTTACAACTGTGCTTGTTACATTTGAGGATGAGCTCCTGTAACAAAAAGGACCTAAAATACAGTGGCTTAACAAATACAGAAATGAGTGTCTTTCTTGTGTAACAGAGCTGAAGTAAATAGCTCAGATGGGTGGGACAGATCAGCTATATGCAGTCATGCAGAGATAGATTCCTGCAACCTAATTGCTCCCTTATCCTCTGGGATACAAATGAAGCTGGACCCCTGCCACATGCAGAAAATGTCTTAATGAGTTTTGCTGAATGTTTTAATTTCCAGACCCAGACACATCACTTCTACTTACATTCTGTTAACCAGAACTTGTCCGTCTAACTGCTAGAGAGGCTGAGAAATATGACCTAGTTCAGAGGTTTCGACTCAATCACAACTTTATTTTCATGGGTAAAGGGAAGAACAGATTTTGGTGGAACTCAGTCTCATTTACTACTGCCCCGAATATCATAGTAATATTCAAATAACTGAACTAAATATAAAAGATGGCATTTCATAAAGGCAAATACAGGAGAAGATAGAAATTGACATATTCAAAGGCAATGTTTTTATATATGAGCTTTAAATTACATAGAAATTTTCTTCCAGTAATATTTTTTAAAGTGTTTACAACTATTTGGTCCATCCTAGCTCATCCGAAGTAACTAAGCGTTTCTGTGGAAGTATTCTGTGGAAGTATTCTGTAAATATTGCAATGACTTAAAACAAAGTTCCCAAGATACCTCAAATTATCATATCTCCTTCGGTTTGTAGCAGTTTCATTTCATTACTTCAATCCTGGGCCACTTTTTAAAGGGCTAACAAAAACAAATTTGTAACTACTTAACATTTTGAAAATATACACAGGTAAACCTAAGAAGAATTTAATGTCTAGAAATAAAATTCACCAAATGTATGCTCTACAGCAGGGGAAATCAATTCTAAAGCTGGGCCCGGGATAGAGAATAGAGGAGGCCAAAACCCTTTCTAGTTAGACTTAAGTCTGTACTAAAAGACATGCCTAACTCCTGTCTTGCTGGCACAATGAACCCATTTAACTAAAGGCATACAAAAAAGCCATTATTGTTTTCTGGAAGATGATAAGACTAACAGAAGACTATAATGCCTTTTTTGGCACTGAGAGATGAAGTCAGAGAACTTTGGCAACTCAAAGGGAGCAATAAAATGGCCACATGAAAAGGACACTTTGGAAATACAGTAATGACAGAAATATAAGATGCATAAATATGATCAAGATTTACTGCTAGAGATGTTACCATAGCTTCTGAGGTGCTGTCACTCTCTACCACACCTGGCAGCAGGATGTTAGATGAGATGGGAACCCACAATTAAATACCAATAAAGGTAATTTCAGGTCTTCAGCCTGTGGCCCACTTCATTCTGACCTCATAAAGAAGGTAGTCTGTGGAATGTATGCATGAGCCAAGGACTGTGTAAAACGTAATGCAATGACTAAGAACTCAACACAAAAACAGAGAGGAGCAGATAGTTTACGACTAACTTTACCAGATGGCTTCCTTAAGCACAGTCATAAATAATAAGTGAATGTCACATAAAAAGAATCAAAAGAAGAGAATGGATGGACAGCTTCTTTACCATATGCCTTTTGCAAGACCTCTGATGGATTTAAAGAAATTCTGTTGGTTTTTTGGAGAAGTTGTTCATACCTCAATCCTGTGCCCTTCTTAGATTACACTGATCAGTCTCTTCTCTGCTCATAAACACCCCACATGCCCATGTTTGTTAACTAAACATGTAATTTACTTCTGTTTTTAGCTTGGTACTTTTTTTTTTTTTCATTTCTGAATGTGTGTCTCTACAACTCCCTTTCACTTATCATTGTTCTGCTTTCAGTTGAGTCACTCAGTCATCACTAAGGACTCATTAGCTGGTTAATTCGAAGCACTATGTAGAAAGAAAACTGTGCCCCTGCCAACTGCCTGCTGAAGGACCTGGGTTTTCATTTTCTTGCCATTTCAGTCCCAATCTTTCTTTAGGAGACTGATGATAAGGTTCAGAGCGGACTGTTTGTTTGATGGCTTTCTAATATGGAGACAGTTCCAAAACAGCCGGGATTAAATTGGCTAACTTCATGCACATGTGTGACCCAACCCAAATTACAGTCCAGGTGGCTGGTGGTGAAAGCCAACTCATTAACCTACAGTGACACCTGTTCATCTGACACACCTTTCCCGAACTCAAAAGGTCTATTTCTTTTGAAATATTTGTGGCTCTGAAACTAAAGGTCATTCAATTCTTGTCTTTAACTTCACATGATGGTTAAAACAGACACAAAATAATAGAATCACCTTTAAAGACAGAGAAGAAACATGCAAAGGAGTGTCCTTTCTGTCAGGATAGAAAGAAAATAAAATGTGCCTAGAGGATCCTGAAAGAAAAATCGTCATCCAATTTTAAATGAGAGTTTTATTCAAATATCCATATGACAGTTTCTATGGCACATCTTCAATTTGTTAATAGTAACCAAATTGAACATATTGCCTTATTCTATTATGTGTATGCCCTCTTGGCTGTCAAACTCTGGAGAACTCAAAACAAGTGTGCAAGCAAAACTGAAAGAGGTTAATATCACAAGAGAACCTGCCACTTATAAAGGTCTTCTGAGTGTTGATTCCCAGAGACATGTTAATGATCAATTTAATAAAAATAATTTAGTAATTTTTTGCCTGACACTTTAGATTTATTTTTTTAATTAAAATAACATATAACAAAGCAGACAAGGATTTTGTCATTTTGAGATACAGTTAGTAACTTTGGCTTTGGTTTTCCTTCTGGTTCTGCAGTGCTTTTTTGCAGTGTTTACTTACCTGTGGTCTCATGTCTTTTCCCATCAATTCATTGAAATTGCTGTCATCATGTTTGTTAATGACTTCTTTGTTATGAAATTCCAGTGACATTTCTCATTTTTTAACCTATTTGACCTCTTATTTACCCAGCCAAAAAAATATATACCAAATAGCTACTAAGTGCCAGGCACTGCATTTAGATGACAGGAATAAATGCTTAAGTAGACATATAAAGTCCCTACAATTGTGGCATTTACAGTGGAATAGAAGAGCTCAATATTAAACAGTTACATAAACAATTATTCAACTACAATATGATTAATGATACAAAGAACAAATACAGTGTGCAATAAGAGCGTATAAATGAAAAATACAATTTAGTTGGATATGTCCCCTGAGAAAAAGACAACTAACCTTAATATTAAAACTTATTTACTCAAAAATAAGTGTGCACAACTGTATAGTTAACTTATCTTCAATTCAGTCAATCGTCAATCTAAAGCATCAACTAAACAATGTATTCACAGATATACCACACAATGACAGTATAATTGTGTAATTGACAGACAATATAAATTAATATTTATAATGATAATCTTGGATGAGAAAAGAGAGTCTACAGGACCTTCTAGATCATCACAGTTAAATTATACTTGGCTAATATAGTTTTAATATTTAGTACAATTTCATGTTTGAAACTTCTGAAAAACTTTTCTTCACATGTAGACCATATGATACTAATATTATAGTAGACCGTCCTATTTACAATCAAATTATACAACAATATACTAAATTATCATATCAGTTTTTTGTTTCTTTAATAATTGCTAATATATGTGTATAGTTGTAAACATACCTGTATATGTGTATGTGATATGTATATATATCAACTGTATAGTTAAAACACCACATGTGTAGAAGAGACCCTCTGACCAGCATTTAAGCTTAGCCATGAGAATGGAATTTGGAAGTTGAAGAATGTGACCTGGAGGAAAGAAGAAAATGATTACAGAGGGGCATTTGAGAATGAGAGGATAGAGAAGAGAGACAGAGGTTGAGGAAATGAGATATCAGAGTCCCCTCACTGCCCTCCCCATTAACACACTCAAGGCTCAGCTAGTGAGGGGAGAGTATCTTTGGGATACAGGACAAAATATAGAATTTGAAGAACCAGGAAGCTTTTGTCTTATTCTAAAAGGAGATAACTTGCAGGCTGTCTCCGGATCAATTGAGTGGTAGATCCATATTACAAATAAACATGATAGCAGAGTGTGATTAGGCAGAAGGAGGTGTTGAGATGCACCTTCCTAGAACATTCTTGATTTCTGTGTAATGTAGAAATGAGCAGTTATTGTAGTGGGAACGAGCAACTCCACAGTAAAGGCATTAGATTTTGCCATCTGGGCAGTGGATGACACAGATATCAGTGTGTGGCTGGGATCTGAAGCCTGTTCAGGGTCAACATGAGCATAAGTCATCCAGAAAGGCTGATGAAGTCAGCAAAGGTCAGCCAGACAAAGAGCACTGTCAAGGCCATCATATGGATCTAAGCATCCCTTTTCCCACCTCCCTAAAGAGCACCAAGAAAGACACCAACATCCATTGCCAATTTCCTTCTCCTTGCCAGTAGGGAGGCTGAAAAAAAACAGATACTCTCTTTCTATTAATATATCTTCCTTATAGAGTAGGATGGATATTTGGCTAAGTATTGGTCAATAAGATAATGTGGAATTTGCTGGGTGGCGGGCAGGGGTCCTATGTGTAATAATTTTGTGTCTTGATAAGGTATATGGCTGGGACCATCCCTGACACTCTTTTTCCTCGAATGTGAACTCATGAGTGAAGCATACATCCCTTGTCCATGGAGCAAGAAAGATGAGGATGAAAAGACTATGTTAAGGATGTGATGTGAAAAGCAGGAAGAACTTCTTATTCATGTTATCACTGAGCAGGTAAGTTAACAGTAACAGCTGCTTATCTTTGGATTTTTTTGGTAATGTAAAACAAACTCTTATTTGTTTAGGTCACTAAGCATGTTTTCTATAATTCAGTCTTTTACTTTTTCACCACCAATTTATTTTATTTATTTATTTATATGTTTATTAATTGTAGGGATGGGGTCTCATCATGCTGCCCAGGCTAGTCTCAAACTCCCAACCTCAACGAATCCTCCTGCCTCATCCTCCCAAAATGCTGGGATTATAGGCTATTCACCACAAATTGCATTGAGTGTCCATGTGATAGTTAATGTGAGTGTATTTAGGGTCCATCGGATAGATAGTTGTATAAGATCCCATACGTTCAGATATCTGAAAGAGGAACGTGTCTACTGGAGTCATCTAAGCCAAGACTTAGTTACCTAAGACTGATTGAACCAAGTTTAAAATTTAAAACTTATTTTTCCCCTCTATCTAGTATTAGAAACCAAAGTAAAGAAATTACATATTTCACTACTCTCTAGATTATGGTATGGGTAAATTTGTGACCTAATTACAAAATCTTTAAATGTTACGATTTTTAGTTAGCTGGAAAATAGTGTTTTTGTGGGGAGAGGGGTTGAAATAGAGGAAAATGATTTCAGGAAGTTTAAGTGGCAGGCAGAGTGTGAAGAAACTTGTATGCCAGAATTTAAAAATGGACTTTGACTTGTAGGTGTTTGGAAGTCATGGAAGTTTAAAATAGGAGATTAATATAAAATTAGTATTTAAGAAAATTGCTTTGGAATCTATGGGGAAGAAAGAATGGAAGAGAAATAGAAAGGTAAAAATTAAAACTTTTAAGAGGCTAATGTAAACATGTTATGCCTGCCAGGAATATAATTCTTGATACTTGTTAAAAGAATTTAACCTGTAGTTCTGGTTTGCCTAACATTATCAACATAAAAATAGCAGAACAGATGACAAAAAGTAAAGATTTAAGTCTATTTAAAATGATTTTAATGTAGTCAAAGTATTTTCTAATAACTCTTCCCTTATATTAGTCAAAACCACACAACTGTTAAATTCGTGTGAAATTGCATATAGCGTCTTCATCCCAGTGGGTGCACAATAACTGCTTACTGACTGATGAGCTGAATTGAATTCAACAACTCATTGCTAAATGCCTACTGCATATGTTGCATTTACAAACAATTTTTAAAATATCTTGCATATAGATATGGCCCCCATAACACCTAGTTTTTCTGAGAGTAAATAATACCTTCAAATTTTGTGTTTTATTATTTACATAAACATACTTATACTTGTCAAATCATGTCTCAATTTTTGTTTCAGAAATGCTAGTGCATATTCTTATGTTGCAGTATAACCTAACAAATATGAACAGTTATTAATACTACCTACATTTTCCTTTCCTTCTTGATACAGAATTTTTTAATAGAATGAAATGGCTTCAAATTCTCAAGGTTGTGCTATCTATAGAAACAAATTGCCTAACACAATCTTGTGAGTCTTCTAAACTCTAAGGTACATTTGAAAGTATTATCCACCCTTAGTACGATGCAACCACTTGCTTGCCTCTTGTCTCTATCTACCTTAGCACTAAAAATGATTCTTATCCTGTTTGGCTCTATCTTCCTGACTGGGCTACAGTGCTCACCCCTTTGCCTGGCACATCCTGTTGACTTTGTAGTTAGTAGGACAAGGAACTCTTATGCTTTCAGTATACAGGTCTGAAGAAATTTTGTACTTATTTTTTATCCTCTATGTGCCAAAGCTAAATATTTAACTACCTGTACATCATCAAAAAATATATCAAACCATTGCTTTAAATAGGTCTGGATTTGGTTTTGCTATCAGTTTTCTTTTCTAAAGGAAAAGACCCACAAGGATTCACTTACAAGCCAGGGAAAGACTGTTGGTGAGTGCTGGTTCCCACAGTCGAGTGAGACTCAATTGAACGAAGCTGGGAAGAATGACTTACAAGGCAGAGGTCAGGAGGACTAATCGCAACTATAAATATATCTGTATCTGTAGTTACTTTAAGGATATTTCAATATTCCATGGAATGCATAACCTGGCGTGGCTGATTTTAAGGAGAATATGCCTTAAGTATCATAAGACTGCAGAGACTTGTAGCAGACACATCCTAATAGCAGACACTACAGAATCAGCCTTGGACTTACCCCTACCTGCTCCTGGCAACATTTTCTTGGAGAAGAGATCCACAAAATGAAACATATTAATATTTCATTTTCCTTTGACAAAATATGCTTTTTGAAATTTGATACACATTCATTTTATTATTCCCCCAGCAAACCTGCCATGTTAAACTGTTAGGACCTAGTAGGTGCACATAAGTGAATAAATAAATACCATAGGCCACCTCTGTGCTGGATTATTCAAGGGAGCAAAGGTTTGGAAAATCAAATGCTCAGGAGGATGTTTAGGAAACAGGGAACGGTACAACATGGCTGATGCGTAAGGTATACAGAGAGTCAAAGAATGAGATTTGTTTGGAAAAATGGATTATATTTCATTGGTCACAGGCCTTATTGACTGTAATTACAACAAAAAGCTAAGGCACTCTAGGAGTGAAAATAATTTTCAGAATTAGTGGCATGATAAGTGATTGTCAAATCCAGTTAAGTTAAAGGATCACTACCCATAGAGATTAAAGCAGTTTAGATAGATTATTAGTTATACAATTGCCAGAGAGGTTGACTTAACTGCTCAGCTTTGAAACTGTGTATGCATGAGAGTGGTTAGTTCTATAACTGGGCACATGGGTGTTGTCTGACGTAGTGGGATAATTGAACTGCTCCAGCACATCCCTTCCTGAGAAGGTACAGAACATATTTTACATGGTTTCGTGTATTTATAAAGCTGCATGTCGGCACAAAGACAACAGACCTGCTTCCCTTAGGAGAACTGCTCAGTCCAATAGTCAGGACTCAGCTGGGCCCTTGGAGCATGGAGCACGAACTCAGTACTGAGGGGCAGCCTGCCCAGTCTCAGCAGGCCCATCACTTCCTACTCCAGGAATAAGCAGATACAGAGTGGAAGGAAGGGGCAAGTGTAGGAGTTAAAGAAAGAGGAAAGAAACATGAAAAGTGGCTCAACAGTCAAAGACAGGTTTATTTTGGAGAATAAACCTGAGAGGGGCTGGGGCTTCTTGATGATTTTTTTTTTTTTTTTTTTTTTTTGGTCGAGTATTTTCTCTCACAGACTAAGAGTAATTAGGGGTTCTGGGTGGGATAATTTATCACAGGCTTGGAATGTTTCTGTGTGGAAGTGAAGTTTATTGCATGGTTGGAATGTCTCTGGTTGAGGAGGGGTTTATCTTATGGTTGGAATGTTTCTGGTTGGAGATGTCATTTGTGGTTTATGGTCAAGCTGACCTTATACATTAGGCTGATGCCCTTTGGATGTAGGCAGTTTTTAATCAAGGTGAACTTTAAAATGGCGGTGCTTGTCCAAGATGGTGACGCTCCTGCTCTGTCAGCAAGGATGATGAAGCTTGAGACCTTGGGCAAGGATCATTTTAAGTGCTAAATAATAAAAACTAGTTTTTTTTCTGGGTATGATCAACTGTGTAGTACAGTTGAAAGTCCAAACCAGAATCATCTTCCTGACCTTTTGTGACACCATTTTCTTATCTGCCAAATGAGGGCAATAATTCCTGTCCTATTGTATACTGTTACTGTGAGGATCAGATGCTTGATGTATGTGAAGTAAAGGGTAAGTGTTGTCATCTCCATTTTACAGACATGGAAACAAGTTTGGTGAGTTAAAATAACTTGTTCATTTATTTATTCATTTAACACATTTGTTTTGAACACCTACCATGTGCCAAACATGGTAATAGATGGATAGTAAAAATAAATAAACATATAAATAAAATTAATAAAAATAAGACAAAAATAGATCGTATCATGGTAGGTACTATGCAGAGAGTTAAACGGAGGTGCTGGGATCATGTGACTGGGTGGTATATCTGAAGAGATACCTTTAAGTAGATGATTGAGTGGTACAGACATGCCAGCATCAAGCCAGGAAGGAAGGATGATAGCAAAGTCCCCGAGACTGGGAAGACTTTGCTATGTTGGAGGAATGCAATTTAGGGTAGTGTAGCTGGAATCATGTGGACACAGGGAAAGTGGTGGAAGATGAAGTAAGTCAGACAAGTAGGCAGGGACCAGATCTTATAAACCAGAGATAGGTTTTAGGTATTTTATACTAAGAGTGAAAACTTTGAAAGATTTTAAGAAGGAAGTGACATTGTCTGATTAGGTTTTTGGTTGCTATGTGAAGAACATATTTTAGGGAAGAGGAGAGAAAGCAAGGGGACCAATCGAGAGGTTGCTCAGTACATCAGGAGAGAGGGCTAATGGTGATTGGGGCCAGGATGGCAACAACAGAGATGGAGCAAATTGGAAGGATCCAGGAATCATGTAGGAGGTGAGGGTCAACAGAATCACATATGGGACTATGGGACAAGGGAGAGAAAAGGATAATTCACAGATTTTTTTTTATTGTATTAATAAATTTATTTCCTATAAAAATTTCAACACACACAAAATTGGAAGAAATAAAATGAATCCAAAATATCTTTCATCATATTGAATAATTATCAACATGTTTCTGTATTTGCTTCACCTATCACATCTGTCTGTGCTGAGTATTTTAAAGAGATATCCTTCATGACATGAAATTTCACACCTAAATACATGACTGAAAAACTACCTATTGGGTACTATGCTTACTACCTGTGTGATGGGATCATTTATATCCCAAACCTCAATGTCATGCAATATACCCATGTAACAAACCTGCACATGTGCCCCCTGAATTTAAAATAAAAGTGGAAACTAGAGAACAATTAAAATGTGAGAACATTTTCTTACATACTTGCAACCTGATTATTATTCCTAACAAAATCAGCAGTAATTTCTTACATCAATTAGTACCTAATCCTACTCAGATTTCCCCAGTTATCACAGAACAATGCCTTT